AAAAATTTTAAAAAATAAAAATAATATGTTCAAATACTGTATTCTAAACAACCAGAAGCTGCTTGAACCCTCTACATGAATCTCCTCTTGGTGAAATGCCAGCAACTGAGTCACTGTCACAATAAGAGGGGAGAGTCACATCACGTGACTCTTCCACATAAAATCCTCAATATTCCAGACCCCTTACTCAGCCCATTTCCTATCTCCACAGCACTTATCACCTTATAATCTACAAGACTACCACTTGTCTATTAGTTCGTTCTGCTGGGGTAACTCGTGTGTTGCTGGGAGGCTGGAGGAGATGCCACAGTATTTCAAATCCCAGCAGGGTCACGCATGGGGGACAGGTTTCAGCGGAGCTTCCAGACTAAGACAGATTGAGAAGAAAGATGGGGGCATCCACGTTCAGAAAATTGGCCAATGAAAACCTTATGAACAGCACTGGAACACTGTCTAAAATACTGCTGGAAAACTTTATGAACAGCCATGAAACACTGTCTAATATAGTGCCAGAAGATGAGACCCTGAGGTTGGAAGGCACTCAAAATACAACTGGGGAAGAGCTGCCTCCTCAAAGTAAACAAACAAACAAACAAAAAAACCCAAACCCACTGCCATCAAGTCAATTCCCATAGCGACCCCCACTGGGTTTCCCAGGTGGTAAATCTTTATGGAAGTAGATTGCCCCATCTTCCTTCTGCGGAATGGCTGGTGGGTTTGAACTGCTATCCTTCTGGTTAGTAGTCAAATGACTTAGGCACTGCACCACCAGAGCTGCCTCCTCAATGCAGGGTCGACTTTAATGATGCAGATGGAGTAAAGTTTTCTGGACCTCCATTTGCTGATGGGGCATGACTCAAAATGGGAAGAAACAGCTGCAAACACCCACTGATAACTGGAGTGTGGAATGTACGAAGTATGAATCTAGGAAAATTAAGTTGTCAAAAATGAAATGGAATGCATAAAGATCAATATCCTAGGCATTAGTGAGTTGAAACGGACAATCACATGGTCTACTATGCTGGGAATGGCAAATTGAAGAGGAATGGCATTGCATTCATTGTCAAAAAGAATGTTTCAAGATCTGTCCTGAAGTACAACACTGTCAGTGATGGGATAATATCCATGCGCCTACAAGGAAGACCAGTTAATACCACTATCATTCAAATTTATGTACCAACATTAACACCAACGATGAAGAAATTGAAGATTTTTACCATCTTCTGCAATTTGAAATTGACCCAAGATACAACCAAGATGTATTGATGATTAGTGATGATCGGAATACAAAAGTTGGGAAAAAATAAGCATCAATAGTTGGAAAACATGGTCTCAGTGACAGAAATGACGCCAGAGATTGCATGATAGAATTTTGCAAGACCAACAACTTATTCATTGCAAATACCTTTTTTCAACAACATAAATGGCAGTTATACACATGGACCTTGCCAGATGGAATACACAGGAATCAGACTGACTACATCTGTAGAAAGAGATGGTGGAGAAGCTCAATATCTTCAGCCAAAACAAGGCCAGGAGCTGAC